GCTTATCTACAAAATTGTTTCCAGACATAAACAACAGAGAAGAAACTGGCAGGATAACAGATTATTAGCCCTCACATCCCTAAGGTGGCTCTTTTCATGAGAGTCATCCTCCATTTTTCTACTAGAAGAAAACCAAATTAAACGCTGTCCGTGACTCAAGATCAAAATGCATTAAAATATTCTCAGATAAATACATCACAATCTAAGTAAAACTGGGATCAACTTTTCACACTTCCTTTTGAAACATATTGTTTGTAATTCAAAGATATTTTTATTCTAGCTTTCTCGAAAAAGAAAATCTGAAAGACCTTCCTCTGCAGTTTCACACACATATCAGTATCACAACTATAAAGTAAGAAATTGTAGACAAGAGGAAAAAAAGCACTTGTGATCAGTGCAGTCATTACCTTTTTACCTATCTTTCTGACAACAATATTTAGAAAGACAATACAATCTTAAAATAGACTGAGAAGACTTTTGATATACTGTCTACTAGTAAGCCTATGTTTTAAAAGTTCTAGCATTTTTTAAAATGGTAATTTAGAACATATATTCAATGGCTTCCCCTGGTACTGGTGATCAGCAACTTTTATATATAAAAGAAATCCATTAATTGCCTGCACTTTCAGATAAGTAAAAGAAAATGCAGCAAATGGTTATACTCTATGAACATCTTTACATATGTGATCTTAGACTACAATAGTTCAGTTGGAAGGGACCTAGAATGATCATCTAGTCCAGCTACAACCTTGAAAACAGTCTTAAATATAAAAACCGAAGATATTCGCCAAAATCAACACGCTGCCAAACACGTAGCAGCTTCACCACCGAACTGGCAAAGCCTCCTCATCCAATTGTTTGTCCTTTGGCCAGTCCTTCATGGCTTCCACAAGTCTACAACAGATTCAGACAACTGTTTGTTTGCTCATCATAGCCTGTTCCTAAAATACAGTGGCTATGGACAACTTCCAATGCATCCTATCTGCGACTCTGAAATACTGCTCTGGCCTTGGAGGAAAGCAACTCTCAGCTTGTATACTGGTTCAAATCACAGGAATCCACTGCAATATCCAGCTTCCAATACTATTACACAAAGCAGCACAAATTCCAAAATAAAAATCAACCAGTTGGTAATCAAAGTAATGCTGCTGTTCCCTTGCAAAGCAATTTGCAATGCTTTTATCACCATAAATCTCCTGTAATATTCTAAGCTTTTAACAGAAATCTGACTAATCAACAGTTGTTATAATCAGAAGCACTTTTGTGATGGAAAAGCAAAGCATATCCCATCACCAAGATATTTGTTAAAATATATATATGTAATTAAGTACACTGGTTCAGAATTGCACCCTGTATTTAGGAAACAGTGGCCAAACGGATATGCTGCCATCTTCCATCAGCTAAGTAACTAAATTTATTTTCACTTGTAACTCTTTTCTTTTACTAATTCAGGAGATTTCCAAAACAGCAGTCAGAACTGACTTATACATGATTAATCTTCATCACTGTGATTTTAGTCTAAAAATTTTGCATCATACCCATCAACTCAAATACTTTCATCTGAGTTTTACAGTCTGGTTAATATACGCAGTCTTTATTTCAGCATGGCTCAGCTGAAATCACTTAGCAGCTATCTGAAACCACTTAAATATGTACTACTGTCACAGGAACAACAAAACTTACAAGGAACTTTGACATTGGGACATAAACACCACAGCAGCTGACATAAGAGAAGTAATAGGCACAACATTTAAATTGGCATCTTAATTTATGGTTTCGAGAATGAAATGTCAAGTTTACTTTCTTAATTTCATTTCAAAATTTAAAAAAGAAAAACAAACAACAAACAAAAAACCACACACACACATACACACACGAAAAAAAAAACAAACCAAAACCCAACAAAACAAAAAACTAGGAAACAGCCAAACAGCAACTGAACACAGGAAAAAAGGTTTACATTTACTTATTAGTATTTTGACTTAGTCTCTCCTGTAATTTTTCCTTATAACTTCAATAATGTGAAATACCCTACCCAATCGTGCCTAAAAAAAGAATTAGGTTAAATTACATTTTATAAATTAAACAAGTTATTTAGATATTCTTACAAATAGCCATTATAGTTCTGAACTGAACTACTCATGACGTTGCTTAATATTTACAGCATGCAGCTTCTACAGTATAATTGCTATCTGGAAATGGAAAAAACACATTAAAATAAAATAAAATAGAGAATTTTGAAAACCTGGAACAACTGTACTTCCCAACAATAAATATAACTAACATCTGCTGCAGAAACTGCTTGGCACTTGTACAGTTTTGTGAGGGATTTTTGTTGTAGATAAATATTTTTTCTACAATTCCTATTACGCACCACTCAACTCAGACATTTTCTTTAATTATACTCCAAGGAGTCTTTTCATATGCATTAAGGAAAGGGAATTTGTTGCACAGGAGAATGCATACATACTTCTAAATTTCATCTGTCTTCTGATATATAAAAAAGCAAGGAAATACCTATAGTTAATGGACTTGTTCTGCAAAAATTTTTAATAAAACACTTTATACTTAACATTATTTTTGTTAAATCCTGAAAAACGCTATTTTTGAAATAAGGGAAGGTCTTATGATTCAGCATTTTACTTTCATTTCAAATATCTATATAATGAGGACAACAGCACAGCAAAGACTCTGGGAAAGCATACTGACCAAATAATGATCCCACTTTGCATACACAGCAAACATAAGGCATCATTTTTTTCAGGGACAAAAGAACAACTTCATGGCATTCTCCTTAGCTGCTTTTGTAACTCTGATCACCACTACTCTTAAGTAAAGCATTTCACAGACACATACTGAGTTCTTGATAGAAGGTTATTTTTCCTGAAAATATGCATAAGTTGTACACATTTAACAAAATTATTGCATTCAGCATTTCATAATGACTCAAAGCAATCAAGATTTGTTTGCTATGATAATATACTGAAAGATTTTTTTTTTTTTTTAAGGGCATGCAGTAGAAACATATTTGAATTATATGGTAAGCACGTAAAGATCTACTCCTCTGCTGAGGTATCAAGCAATTGGTAATGATGGATGAGGAGAAAATAAGGGTACTGCCAATAAGAGTAGAAATGCTAACTCTAAACACGCAAAAGCTTCAGTTCAGGCTCAAAAGTCTATCCATGCAGGCTCAACTCCAAAACAGAGAGATACATGTATGATTTGCTGTAAAACAAAGTAACTGGCATTATATTCACTATTCTTATGAAAACAGACAAAGAACATTGCGTGAACATTATTTATAATCAAAATCCTCAGCTAACTTTAAACCAAGTTGGGCATTTTAAAAAAGAAAAAAGTAGTAAAAAAAAAATCTTAAATCATGTGAAAAAAGCATTTCCATTGATGGAAACTGTAATCTATATTACTCTATGAAAAAAAGTAAAAATCAAAACACCTTGGGTATATTTGTATTAATAAAATGAAGCCAGTTGTGTTTCATAATATTGTCGTTTTTTTAAGTGAAAGATTTAGGAATATGTGCTTTGCTTTTACACTGCACAATAAACTAGAGGAAATAAATAAACTGATATCTAAAAATCCACATTACATCTCCTTTAAATACTTCTTCCTAAATCTGTTTTTAGATGAGCAAATCTTCAAACTTGTAGATTCTATCCCTGCATTATTTCAGTTTACTTTTTATGTAACTTGCAACTAAACCCAAATTCCCCCTGCCCTCTCCTATATTCTTCCTTTTTCCTAAACACAGATTTTTGGAGGAAAGGGCCAACAAGTTCATAAAACATTTTACAGTGTAGCTAACGCAGTTATAGCTTATTCTCTTGCTCTCATATTAAAAACATTGTTGCTCTCCAGTCACATTTACACTTGCCCTTCTTAACACATAATAAGCTTAACTTTTTATCCACTATTTCTTTTGACTAAGAAAGGAGGTATGAATAGCAATAAAGCAGTACAGAAAGTACGTATAACTATACTGTACAAATAGCAGTTAATCTACAGATCAGTAAGTTTTGCACTGAACTGAACTGGCATTCTTCAAAAAGATCAGATTTTAATATCTTAGACAAAGTGCATCTGAGAAGGCACCAAGTTTAGATGCAATGCAGCCACACAGTAAGGTGCTGAACTAGTTTTCACTCTGCTGTAATAAAAAACACCACTCACAGAACAAACATTTCACATACAATCTTTAATAGGAAGAGTCCTTTAGATGACATTTATGAACAGAATGACACAACCAAATTGTAACTTCTTCCTACAAACTTCAGAAGAATAAAGGGATCTTCTCATGAAGAATCAGTAACTTTCAGCATTTCCTCAAATGTATGTGACATAATAGGAATGTAAGTAAGATGAATTTTTCAGAAACTTAAAAGCAAAAGGTATACTGAATAGAACAATTATATAATTTACTATGTGATAGCTACAAGTTAGACAAAGATACTACTCCTTAATGAAGAAAATCAGAACAAGTTAAGGACTTTAGAACAAGAACTGCAACTCTGCTTCCACATCAGTATACAGCAGTTCAGAAAAAACCTCTTACATAAAAGACAACCTATGGCTACGATATATTGCTTTAAGCAGTTGCAAAGAATGGAGTAATGGGACAGTGCAAGATTAAAACTAACAGCAAACAAAAAAAAACAAGATTAACAAAAAATCACTGTCGCAGCAGCATTTGATAAGAGTAGTTTAAAAACGCCTTTTTTCCCTTAAGCAAAATATGGTGAAAGCAGGAGAACCATTTGCATCCAAGTATTACTTGGCTGTTTTCCAGAACAACTGAGCCTGCACAGAGTGCATTGGACTAAGTTCTTAGGGGCTGGGACTGTTCTTGGTCCGCATACTTACAGTGAAGAGTAACTGAGGCCAGTCCATAACTAGCATGTCAGGGTAATAATTTATACTGGGTCAGTGATGTGCAGATAGCAAATAAAAACAGGCAAAACACTGCCACATTAACATACCTCTTGCACAGAACGAGCTGCTGGCTTGTCTTGATGATTGGCCAGTATTAAAAACGGCAAAGTACATAACTGGGGGTGCTGGAGAGCAGAATGCAGTTCATTCCTAGCAGTTTCTAGATCATCTTCAGAGGAGGCGCTGTCTAATACAAATATTACTCCTTGGGATCCTTGGTAGTAACGACTCCAGTATTTCCTGATATTGTCAGCCCCTAGCAAGAAAATAAGAACTAATTAAAATACGAATAATTAAAGAGATTTATCACTTCTATCTTAAAATAACCTTCTATTTAGAACAACCAAAGCAATAGACTAGATTTTCTCTCCTACATAATCACCATTGAAAGCGTAAGAAAGAAAAAAGCAACACACTCACAAACATCAAATTAACACTGTTTAAATAAGAAAGGAATTTGACTCAATACAGTTTTCATCCCTAAAAGTGTCTGCTCCATCAACAAGTACTGGCAGAACTACTAAATTCCCAGTGCCACATAATCCTATACCTTCTCACTGTAATATCTTGGTACTAGTACCTAAAACTTTGCCCAGTCTTTTCTACTTAGTCCTGCAGATCCTTGCTATAACCTGTGGCTTCTGTCATAGCAGTTGCTCATTTCTAAGCATGATCAGCTTTTTCAGTTCATCTACAAGCCATCAGACAACCACCTCATAATTGGCAAAAAAAGTGTCAGAAAGTCTATTAACATAATTAGACACTTAGTGAGGAGAATGGTGATACAACAGTGAGTTCAACAGTGGATGAAAAGCTACAGTGACAACATGCAAAGGTATTAATTTCAACTACTTTTGCTCTGTCAACCACATTAAGGATTCTGGAAAAGCCCAACAGTAGACATGAGTGAATGTACAGGCTTATATGCCACAGTAATTTTTAGAACACATATCAGCAGCACTCAGCCCTCTCAACAGAAGCCAAGCAATAAGGTTATCCACAGAGAGCTTTTGTCTCCCTTGGGGAGTAGCATATGTTGTTACATTGAGGTAGGGAAAAAAAGTATGTATTTGACAGCTGTCAAACTATCTAAACTATGATTTGGATATGGGCTATTCTTTGTATGTCTGAGTCTGGCACTACACTCATGGGGTCTAACACTAAAAAGTGAACAGCAGCAATACCCTAGTAGAAAACTTGACATGTCTCCAAAAGAGTGATTTGCAGAAATGGGCTGATCCTTTACAGATGCTTCTCTGAATCTGAGATAGACAGAAGTGAACTTTAATGTAGACACAGAAACCAAGAGCTGATAATAATAAAACTCATTTTTTTTAGTGAAACAAAACTTCACAGAAGTTCTGAGCAACATGTTGGCACAAAATTGTAATTTAATGCAACACTAATATTATAATGATATAATACCTAAAATATTTGCTTAATTTATACATTGTGCGACAGAAAGACAGTCATTAACCAAAGGGATCTGGATAGGCTGGATCAATGGGCTGTGACCAAATGCATGAGGTTCAACAAGGCAAAGTGCTGGGTCCTGCATATGGGCCACACTAACCCCCTGCAACACTACAGGCTTGGGGCAGAGTGGCTGGAAAGCTGCTCTGCAGAAAAGGACTTGGGGGTGCTGATGGAGCTGGGCATGATCCAGCTTGTGCCCAGGCAGAGAAGAAGGCCAACAGCATCCTGGCCTGTGTCAGGAATAGTGTGGTGTCCTGGGTTCAGCAGTAGCAGTCATTTTTCTCCTTCGTGGTAGCTGGTGCAGTGCTGTGTTTTGACTTTCAGCCTGGGAACAGTGCTGATAATACCGATGTTTTCGGTTGTTGCTAAGCGATGTTTACCCTGACCAAGGACTTTGTGAGGCTCATGCTCTGCCAGGGAGGAGGGGAAGACGGGAGGCAGCAGAGACGGGACACATGACCCAGGCTGGCCAAAGAGGTATTCCATACCACAGCACGTCACGCTGGGGGGCGTAACTGGGAGTTACCCAGAAGGACACGGGGTCTTCTGGGTTGGACTCGTTTCTTGGCCGGTGGTATTGTATTCTCTTCCCTTGTTATTTTCTCTTATCATTGTTGTCGGTGGTGGTAGTGGTGGTGATTTGTGTTGTACATTGGTTGCTGGACTGTTCTTGTCTCAACCCGTGGGAGTTGCACTCTTTCGATCCTCCTCCCCGTTCCTCCAGGAGCGGGGAAGGGGAGAGCTGCTGGAGGGGGGACACGGGCCTCAACTGCTTCCAGCCCAGCACCACTCACTGGGAGTAAGTGAACAAGCTGTCTGGCTAGGTTTAAAATATGACATGTGGCCAGCAGGGCCAGGGCAGTGATCATCCCCCTGTACTGGGCACTGGGGAGGCCACACCTCAAATCCTGTGTTCAGTTCTGGGCCCCTCACTACAAGAGAGACATCGAGGTGCTGTGGCAGGTCCAGAGAAGGGCAACGGAGCTGGTGAAGGGTCTGGAGCACAAGTGTGGTTAGGAATGGCTGAGGGACTGGGGTGGGGTTTAGTCTGGAGAAGGGAAGGCTCAGGGAGGACCTTATCGCCCTCTACAACTACCTGAAAAGAAGATGGAGCTAGAATCTGGCCACTCTCTTCTCCAAAGGAACAAGCAATAAGACAAGAGGTAACAGCCTCAAGCTGTGACAGGGGAGGTTTAGATTAGACATTAGGTAAAAGTTCTTCAATGAAAGGGTGGTCAGGCATTGGAACAGGCTGACCAGGGAGGCAGTGGAATCCCTGCCCCTGGAAATGTCCAAAAAACGTGTACATGAGGCCCTCAAAGGCAGAATTGCCAGTCCCGGGGTAAAGGCTGGACTTGATCTTAAAAGTCTTCTCCAACCTAATTGATTCTATGATTCAACGGTGAAGAAACAAATACCTAAAAAGGAATTTACACTATAAAATTTAGGCATGGAACTCAAGAGTATCCAAATCTCACTCCATAGAGTTCCTGTCTTCTCTGTACCAGCCACACTGAATCTTAGGCACTCTGTTTCTGTATTATGCATCTAGCACAATTTAGGTGGCTAACGAACACTGTGAACACATGCTTTTTTCTACAGAGAATACCAAAGTCATACCTGAACAGTTTTTCCGCAAGAGAGCTAAACAGTCAATTATTTAAATGTAAATGATCATGGGATTTAGTCAAGATCTTGCTCAATTTCCCTACTAATTTAAACAGAATCAAAGTAACAATGCAGGAACAGGACAGCTGTTTCATTTATTTTATCATCAATCTCTGAAGATCAACATTACATGCACAGAAGAGAGACTGCATTGAAAGCTAATTCTGTGTTTCCTGTATCACCAGAGTATCTACCAACTGTACTTGTAAAGAATTTCACAGCATCTGTCAGATGTTCCAGTCTTTCCAAACATCTGTCTATGTCAGAACCAAGTGGAGCAAGTTGCCAGAGGGACACTACTTGCATAGCCACACACAGCTGTGTCACAGGCATCTGAAATATCACATTACTTTAAAACCTGTTAGAGAATGATTTTCAGGGAACTGAAAGGCCAACACCCTGATCAGCTCCTTGAAGGTCTTTTTTTTTTTCCTAGCAATGTAACATCTGGCTTACTTACTCTAAGCTTCATCCAGGTACTTCTCAATCAAACATTACTGCCAGAACCTGAGTGTTTTCTTTGTAACTGCAATATTTCTAAAGATAAAAATTTTGTGGTGAACTTCAGAGCATAGAATCTGTGGTATCCAAGCACATGGATCCCTACATGGGACACTGGAGTCAGAAAAACAGTATGCTGATCTGCGGAGCTTACGGTCCTGTCTGCTTGATTCAAGTTCTTTAGCTGCTCAATTTTGTTTCTCTGTATCAACTGTCCCAAAAGAAACACCATCAAAGCATAGTAGTCCTTTTCTCTCCAGACATGGCCGGTCATCATGGCATAGTTATAAGAACCAACTGACAACGTCCAACAAAACCTGGTGTTTCCTTTGGGATGTTCTATTAGAATAATGACGTATTCTGAATTTGCTTACACTTCAATTCAGAGGAAATCACAGCCTGAGGTTTAAGAATAAAAAATATCTGCACTAAGCAGACAAGAAGAAAAAAGCTATGAGCAACTGGAAATCACAGTTTCTACATGACAAATAAGCTCATATTCTTTTGTTTTAATTCTTCATACCCAGGGAGCATAACCTGTGCTTAGTCTCTTTCTCCAGAGGGCACTGGTGGTTATCCTGGGCAGAAAATGCTGGCTTGTGATGAGTGATCCATCACTCTTTATGGCATGACAAACTCAGTCTTTAGACCAATCACTTCTTTTTAAAGGTGCAGTTTAGCACCTTAACACACCACCCTATGAATTAATCTTTTCATCTCTTCTAAAGATTTCTATGAGAGGGAAATTCAAAAGTTGGACTTCTTTGGCAATCCATAATGCAATGTACCTCCACTGAACAAACTCAGACTCTCAATAAAACCAGAAACTTAATTGGTATCCAAAATGTTCTATCAAGCAATAGTAACATACAGGACAAGCATTTAGGTTTGTCAGCCTAATACCAAATGAGTTTTTTTACAGCTTTCGAGGCACATGGCTGCTTCTTCAACCACTTTATGCCTAAACGAAGATTTAAAAAAATAAAATATAAAAAAGGAAAGAAGTAACTCAAGTAAAATTCTCCTAGGGAACACGTTATGCAAAAGGTTCACTAAACTGTGACATTCAGTGTATTTTCCTCAGACACAGGCAAAAGCTAGAACTCATGCCTAGGCATATGATTTTTTCCTTCATCATTGGACCCATGGGAGTGGGTTGAGTCCTGTGATGTGACTAAACCATCCAATTTACAAAAAAAAGAGGTGAGACACATGACACACAACACACAACAATGACACACGAAAACGTACTACAACACAATCACACTACTTACTATAAAAGACTCTATAAGCTTGACTTACTTCATAAAAGGAATTAAAAAAAACACCTCTCCTTACAAGGAATGAAAAGGGTGCTGTAATTAAACCCCCCAGTCATTCAGCACTACTACAGGGCAGATCTATTCAATAACTGTTACAAATTTTACAAAGTTTTAATTTGTAATTATTAAAGTATCAAATAAATTCTTTTTTTTTATTTTCAGCCAAGGGTATAGTATTTCCATATTAACACTATTTATTAAAGACCCCTTAGAAGCTGGGGGGGAAGAGTTTGCGAGTTATGTGCAGTTTAATGCATTTCCGAAACAGGTTGCACAATTATGTGCAAAT